TGAATGAATGAATGAATGAATGAATGAATGAATGAATGAATGAATGAATGAATGAATGAATGAATGAATGAAACATTTGTTTCAAAATGCTTAAAGTTACAATTTGTAACTTTTAACAAAAATGTAAAAAAAATTCATAAAACTGTCACTATGTCCTGACAGTAGAATAYGAGGCAAATAATCTGTGAAAAAATCTGTTTCTGACCGTTTCTGATGGCAAACAAAATACCTAAAGTTACAGGAAAGCTATTCCTATTAAACTATTAACTATTAACTATTTAAAAACAATTTCCGAGAGTTCTGAGTGTGTTGTGTTGTTTATAAGCCGTCATCGGTGACCCTGCTGGACTCCACCCCGGGGAGGAGCCGTGAAAGGTGAGCAGTAGCGCAGCAGAGCCAAGTAGGGGTCTCTGCAGATAAGTGGGCGTGTCCCAACAAAAGGCGATTCTAAAGCGACACACCTGATTTGACGGACTTTTTAAAAGGGACACATCTAACTGGACAAGCAAAAAAAGGGATGTCACGTACGGGACCACCTGATTGGACAAGAACAAAAGGGGCGTTACTGTAAGGCACCACTTTTTCTGGAGACCCCTACTTGGGTCACATTTCTCCTGGTTAACCTTAGTGTTGGGGTCAGGGTCAGGCTGCATAGAGGTGAAGCAGGGTCTAAGGATACCGTCATGCAGGCCTCGTAGCCCACAGTGTTTATGCTTTAGACACGCTCACTCTTGAGACACGCCCACTTTGATTCCGCAGATAACCCCTTCTCCAGCAGAGAGCAAGGGCAAGAGACCTGTAAGGTGCTTTTGTTCATGTTTTCAGACCAAATCCATGGTTTTCTCAGAACTCCCTACTACAGCTTTCAGGGCTGGACAAAAAACTGAAAGAAAAAAAAACAGCCAAAAACTATAAAACTAAATGAATATGGCCTTTTAAAAAACTGAAAAATTACTGATTTATTAATGTACTATCAAGACCATTTTAAAACTGACAAGAAAATCTGGTTCCTAAATAAAATACAAAATTTGATCAGCACTCTTAGTGACGTTATTACATGACTTTTCTTGGTTGGAGAGTGGCCATGTTGTGCAGAGCAAAGAGAAGCTAAAGCTGAATGTGATAATCATGACAGGTTAAATTTAGGTCAGCACATCAGTGAATCTAGTCTGTGGCTGACATCCATCATTTTGATTTAATAGAATTGCTTATCAGTATTTATTACCATGTCAGGTACAAACATGTTGCTAAGGTCCACATGTATGGAATGAATGATGTTTCTATGTAGAAGCTAACCACTGAAAAACTAATATTTATGCACAATTCTACACAGAAATCTAGCCCTGATAAATTACATTGACAGCCTGCCCCATCCAACATGGCGTTGTGCTTGTACCACAGCTTCTGAAATGTGTGAGGCTACCCAATTCACCTCATTGATTTAATCTTTTTCCTCAAATTTGCCTCCATTTTTCAGCTCATCTCTAGAAACTTGAGCCTGCAGCCTCTGTGTGAAGGGTCTGTGCGGTGGTACACCCTGGACTGGATGCTGTGTCCACCACAGTTTGGTCTACTGACCTTACTCAAATCTTATCCACCTGATAAAATATTTCATTTATTGACTGGGTTAGCTTTTTTGTGTCAGTCAACAAGAGAAACTTGAACTTCCTGTCCCACATCGCCTCAAATCTCTCAGAGCAGTTTTAGCATATTTCTGTTTCCKTCCCGCTTCCCTTCATTCACCTGAATCCTGCAAACTTCTACAAGCTCTCAAACACAAAACATAAGCTCCGACTTTAGCCGCAGATGAAAGGTGGAAATGATATAGCTGGTGGAGTCTGAGCAATGTGCTGCTAAGATCAGCCCTGGAGAGAGTGCCAACAGTCTAATATTAGCAGAGCACATGTCTGTCTTTACAATCAGTCACTAAGATGGCTAAAGTTAGTTCACTTTGTCCCAAGCCTCTTTCCAAGTTCTTTTGCTGGGTACCAGGGTGTCTGGGGAGCAGCTGGACAGGCTTCTGCAACGATGAGTGAACGTCTCTGTTAGGAATTTAAAGTAAAAGAAGAAAATAACTCAGACCCTAAAAGGGAAAATTCTGAGTGCTGTCACAAGGTGGGGAAACAGAACAAAATGTTCTCATGTAGATGATTCACAATTATTCGTAAAGTCTGAAGAGGTTTTCTTGGGCAAATCTGAGTGATGTGGGACAAACAAAAAAAWGTGTGCTGGATGAGCTATGCTGCCCTCATCTGGTTAAGCAGCTTAATTATTCTGGATTTTTTTTTTCTTTTAAAGGAGAAAAACAGTCAAAACACTCAATTACTACCCCGCCCTGTTGTGCCAAACAAACTTCCCTTTCCTCTGTAAAATTTCCCATGGGCTACAGTCCACCACCACCATTATCYCCCCTCAATATTCCTCTTTCACTCTTCCTGTGGTTCATACTGTGTTAACAAGGAGACGACTAAGCTCCTGTGTCTAAACATAGAGCTTCACCTTTTCAGTAACAGGTCAGGTTAGACTGATGCTATGGGTCTGATCTCATGGTTCACAGCCAAAAGGGCAGCATTTGATAAGAAATCATCCGGGGCTTTCGGTGGGGWTTTAAAAGAATTGAGTTGTTGGAGGCGTGCCACCCGTCAGACGATCAACATGTCTCTCAGTAAACATTTTAGATCAGATAGGAAAACCAGACAGCTTTTATATGGGTTCAAAAGCAAAACAAAAAACAACTTTGCTGTAGGTTTTTACTTTAGAAATTAGATYATCAGTTGGCAGAATGCATTCAGTKCATATTGCCTTCAAACTTGCATGCCAAAGTTTTCAACAAAGATTTATTTTATCCATTAGTGCTCAAAGTATGTGRCAGGGTTGCTTATCAGCTACTATCACACCTGTAAAACTGACTGAGTTATAGCTAATTTTTTTTGTTTACAAAGGTCAATTGGCTGTGACACCCTTCCTAATTTGGATTAACTCCAAAAGTTAATCAGTTTTAAAAGAACATCTAAGCATTATGTTCTGAGAGTTTTATTAACGTTTGTTCAATAGTTCATGAGATATTTTGTGAACAGACAGAGCTGACGCGAACAACTAATACCAAAAGGTTTAAACAAAGATCTTGCACAATCAGTTAGCCCCCAGAATATGTGAAGGGGTTGCTTATCAGCTACTATCGCACAAAACTGTAGCTCAATATCTGTAAAATGGACTGAGTTATAGCTTTTTTTTTTTTTTTTTGCAAAGGTCGATTGGCTGTGGCAGCCTCTCTAATTTAGGTTAATTCCAAAAGTTTTTCAGTTTTAAAAGAATATCTAATGATTACGTTCTGAGAGTTTCATTACAATCCATCCAGTGTTTTATGAGATATCTTGCTAACAGACACAGAGTTAACTCTGACAGCTAACGCTGAAGCTTTAAACAAATCTTGCGTAATCAGTTCGCCCCTAGAGTATGTGATGGGGATGCCTGTCAGCTACTATCACACCTAATTTTAGCTCAGTATCTGTAACAAAGAGAGTTATAGTCATGTTTGTCTTTGATGAGGTCACTTAGCCGTGTCGGCCWTCTTGGAGTGGATRTACTACAAAAGTTAATCAGCTGTACGTCAAGATCCAGTGACAACTTTCTGAGAGTTTCTATATAATCCATCCAGTGGTTCGTGAGATATTTTGCTAACAAATGAACACAAACACACACACTGGCAATTACATTATTGTCTGTCTTTTATGGAAGCAGATGATCATTTACCTAAAAGAGTTGTTGACAAACCTAGGTTTAAATTAATTAAGTGTAGTTACATTTAGAGGTAATGTGACCAGCAGCTGCAGCCAGGAAAAAGCATCAGTGTTAAAACGATGAGCTGTGAATATTTCACCATCCAACACCTCAACACAGCAGAGATGTAGTTCTCAGTTTGGCCAGCAGRGGGCAGTCAGCTCCAAGCACAAGCAGTCTGAACTGGGGCCCTTTTCCAGTTTGATATAAGGGTTAACCTTTTTTTTACGTGACCTGTGCTATGTCGGGACTAAGTCATTGCTGCTGTGAATAAACTCATTAACGCAATATTCCTGTCAACGTGTAAACCAAAGTTTAAACACAAAAACTCCACACCAACACTGACTGGAGTTTTTCCACTCCGTGCATTTCTGACTTCATTTGTGTGTGTCAGTTACCACTGTGGCCCTCTGGGTGAGTTTGTTGTCCCTGCAAACGAGACAAAAGGGCCCCAGACTCTGTCTCATATTTACAAAGAAGCTCTTGAATCATTCAGGCAGGGGGTCTTCAGCAGCACAGCAGATTTAGAAGCCATAGCCTTAATGATTCAGTCACAACACTTTTTTTTTTCTTTTTGACAGCACGAGAGGTTTTTTCTCTCACACAACAGACGGGCAGATCTGAAGAGAGCCAGAGCAGAATAACTCAACAAAACTGAGAGCAGAGCAGCAAGGTTGGTTTTGCTGTCGGTTTGTTTCTGTTTAATCCTTAAATCTTCAGTAATCAGGATGAGAGGGAGAGAGAGCACGTTGCCTGACTTAAGGACAACATAATCTATGTTGGGGCCTGACTGATGAGGCAACCTGAGTGGCCAGTAAAAAAAAAAAAAGAAAAAAGAACATGAAGGGAAGGAAGGGAGGGAAGTTCCAGAGCTGGAATCAGTTTGAGGAACTTAACCTGAACCTGTTCCGACTTTGTACAAACAAGAAGAGCAGAGGACAACCTGAGAGGATGGGTTTGACAGCTGAGAGCAAATCCAAAACAGAAGAGGACTGAGCCATGCCTGGAGTTCATAGGGTGAGATTCTGAAGATTTCTCTTTTTTTTCCCCTCCTTTGACTGGAGTTTCTGAAACAAAACATCTTCATGCATCTGAGACGCTTCAGATATCAGGATTGAGAGGAASAGGCCAGAATGAAAGGTGTTSCTCAGCAGGAAGTGCAGGCCAGAGMGTCAAAGTGCAAGCTTAATATACAAAACGGGGAAGAGAGAGGAAATATTTTCATGAGAGGAATTCCCATTTTTTGYATGACAGCATTTGAAACAYAGGCAAATACATACAATACTGTTACTCTACTTTGTTTAACTGAAAAGTTTGTAATCTGCTATAAAGTGTTGATTCTGTGGAAAAAAAGTCATGAGAAAATGTGTAAATTTGCAGGGGGAGAGCCGTTTCCTCCCGTTCATGTTTAATTCCAAGCAAACTGTACCTATGTGTGTTTTTCCTCTCAATATGAGTGGAAAGGAACATTYTAAACCAGACATGGCTTCTCATTGTTTCCAGCTCCAAGTGGCATTTCTCAATCCAGGCCAACACTTTTGATCAGATTATTGTCAGACTAAGCTTCCTCAGGTTTACAACATCTCTCCTGATATTTGTTCTTTAGATGGTTACATCATTCTAAGCTTCATTTATTTTAAACTTCTCAAAGCTTTTGTTTTCTAAATGTGTGACCAAATCGTTACATTTTAATTATAATGTATGTGGATGTTATGTATGTATTAAATCRGAGATCAGTCAGGCTGACAGGAGGGCTGAGGTGATGTAAAGCTCCTCATCCTCTTTAACCATCATAACTTTAGGTCACCGGATTTGCTGAACGTGAGTATTAGAGTCAGATGTCTGTTCTGAGCACAAGAAAACATTTCTGAGGGTAAACCATGTTGGCAAAGAAGCAGATTTTCCCAGTCGCAGACACWTTTGGGATAACATGAGCTTTTTGACAGCAGATGTCAGTTTATGTTAAAATAGTATTTTGTTTGCAATTAATCTTCTTTTCCTTTCTCTGTTGTAGCTTTTGCATCCAAATAATGACAATACAGCAAACTAAAACAAAAATCAGCTTAGAAATTTGCCACTCCTGCTTGTGGTTTAATTTGCTTAAACACGTTTAGTGAAACGTCCGTCAATCATCAAGCCACACAGTGAAACGTTTGATGACTGTGATATTTGTGAAGAAAACTAATTTTTGTTTGTTTGTTTGTTTGTTTTTCTTCAAGATGTGTTGCTGTGCAGCAGTCCTGACACCCCCTGTGTGTGACCCCTGACTGGAAGGGTCCCGATGGCGACCGCGAACGAYGACCCAGACCTGGGCGCTGGCCCGTCCGAGGACTCGGACGTTCTCCTGGATGATTCGGACAGCGAGAGTTTACTCTCTGATGACTCTGTCTACCCCGTGTACGAAAGTCCCACAAAGTTCACGAGTCCAGCCAAGACTCTGTATGAGGCCTGCGGGAGGAACGACCCTGAAACCCTGAGCAGCATCATGGAGAGAGGGGTCTGTAAAGAAGAGGCCATGGAGCTGGACATCAATGGAAGGGTGAGGAGAACTAATTATTTCTGTCTGTTTCTGTTTATTAAATGAAGGGGCTTTGTATGCATTTCTGTAAAWACTGTAAAARTATTAGTTTATATCTTTATTGTTTYACATCAGAATGGGCTGATGGTGGCAGTGACCAAAGGATTTGTAGACATCGTCACCCTCCTGCACAAATGTCTGTTAATAGACATCAACCACCAGGACAATGATGGAAACACTGCACTCATGATCGCTGCACAGGCTGGTATGCAAACAAAAATCACTAACATCCACATCTAAGCTGAATGTGTTCCCAGAATAATAACTTTTTTTTATTATTAATACAGGCTTCGTCACGATTCTTAACTACATCCTTAACTATTACCACGGTGTGGACACAGAGGTCAGAGACCCCCGCGGCTTCACGGCCCTCATCAAAGCAGGCCTGCAGGGCCGAGAGGAGTGTGTGTCCGCCCTGCTGATGCACGGTAACTTTTCAAAACTAAACACTGATCACGACCTGGACCCGGACTACTTGTGGCCGGGTCCACCCAAAACTTTCCCCCAACCTCGCTGCTGATGAAAGACGGACGCTTCACGATGAGGGAAATCAAAAACACTTTGTTCAACGTGACGCTCGAGGCAAAGCAGGACACCTGATCTGTGAACTAAGCTGCACTTTCTCAGGGATTAGATCAGCTGACACAATAACACTTTCCAACACATGCGCCGTTCAAACTGTTTTAAATAGACTCCAGGACAAATTAGCTGCATTATATAAACGCCTAAATAATTTACACTCAGAAAATAAGCTGCATATTTGATTGACTTGACTGAAAAAACGTGTTTTAAATGGGAAACATCAACATATGGAGTTTAGGTTTGTTATTATTTTATTATTGTTGGGGGTGTTTTAATCTAACCCTTAAAAAACAAGTTGCTAAATAAAAAGACACAGATTAAACATTTATTCTACACAGCCTTTATTTTTGAAACTAAGCATTTATTTCATTTCAAGCTGTCAATAAACTGACTCAGCAAATCTATTACAGTTGACTCCACATCCATTTTGGTGGAACTAGCTTGAATAATCTGAATTATTTTACTTGATCCGTGACAAGTAACATATATAAAGTAGAGGCTTTGTATTAATGAAAGATTATTTTTTGTTTTACGGAAAAGATTAACTTTGGGGATTCAAACAAATCTGAATATACTTATTTCAAAAAAGTATTTTTTTATTATTTATTAATTTAATCAGTAATATTTTTACGCACGTAATTAAAATAAATCAAACCTAGATTTTTTTTTTAGTTGGCTTTTAAAGCCAGCCCAAAAAATTTAACTACAGCAAATGATTGCTTCATCTTGGAAAAAAAATACATTTGTATAGAATTGTTTTTACTATGTTTATTCAACAAGTTGTTTTTTGAGTGTATATCTGAAGTTTTTTTTTTAATTTACAAAGTTTCTGTTACATTATTCTTCAAAAGCAGCCACATGGTGGCGCTGTTGCACCGAGCTGCCTTCATCSCTTTCTGCCTCTCTTGTCCTTTTTGATGTGTAGGTGCAGATATACATGCAGTGGACCTGGTCCAAGGCAGGGGTCTTAAAGACTGGGTCCTTAGGACTGGAAGGTTTGAGACCCTGTCCAGAATCCGGCGTCTGCAGAGTCGTTCTGTTGCCAAGCAGTTCTGTGAAAGCTACGAACCGGAGTGGCCTGAGCTGAAGCAGCTGGTGGAGAAGGCCTCTGCTCCCAAATCAGCCAGTCAAAAACTGAGGCAGCGCTTAAAAGAAAGTCTCACTTTCAGATTCCCACACGACCCTCAAGACAACGGTGTTATGGACCATGTGGTTCAGATCACTACAAGCATCCACAGTCCACTGGTTGCTACTGGCTGCCGCCCACTGTGTCCCACCAGTCCCCCAGAGATTGGCAAGAGGCGGTTTGCCGTCCCCGAACTGCTCGAGAAGCACAGCAGCAAGGAGCTGGAGGAGAAGTCGGTGTCCCACAGCAACGGGTCCATCACCTCGGCGTCTCCCACCGCTGTGTCGGCCACCTCTGTGTCCCTGGCCTCGTGCTGCCAGGATCCAGGGCGCAGGGAGAGTCTGCCGTCGGGTGGCGTGAGGAGCTTCATCCCTCGCAGCATGGCGCACAGAAACAGCATATTCCCCTCGGGCTGCATTCCCAAGATTGAGGTGACAAGATCTGGGGATCCGACGCCAAAGAAGGAGAAAAAGAAGAAAAGTCAAAAGGGCTACTTGGAGCCGCCTGTTTGGAAGTACAAGCAGGCCAAAGAAGAGAAAAAGAAAGAAAAGAAAAAGCAGGCGGCGCAAAAAGACCAGGAGAAAAAACCTAAAGGGTCCAAAAAATCGTCCAGCAAAACCTGAGTGGGTTGGCCTTTTGCCGTGGAAAACTTCACCGTGATAAGACCACCCGTACAAGCTTTATCTCTGCAGCCAGATGGAACAGGAGATAAAACCATTGCAGAACAAATGTTGGGAGCGAGCAATGAACAAAACGATAGATGGATTTGAACTTTTGCTCAGGATAAAGTGATATCACTGAAATATTCTGATGTTTTGGTGAGATTTAACATCTTAAATTTCTGTGGTCTGAATATTGTTTGGGTTTAAAAAGATTTAACACAGATTTTTCTCTAAGCCATAACGAGTCAGCCCACAGGCTTTTGCAGTGATGTTATATTTTTAAAAAACATTTTTGTGAAGCTCTTATAACCCATGTTCTGCAAACGTTTAAGGTAGCTTCATGGTATTTCACTTCAAAATGACCAAATAGCCATTAGCCTATACTGTTTATATAATAAATGTGCTGAATGGCCTTCAGAAAATGAATGAATGTTTCAGCTGACTTTGTTTTTCGTGATGCTAAAGGGACCAAAAAGGACAAAACGTGATTTGTTTGTCTACATCCCATTTTCAAAAGCAGTTTTCACTTGGGTATTTTTTATAAGCATAGCAGTAATCATTACACATTAGAAATGTAACATGTGACTGGCATCTGACCTTAGATACTCTTTTCAAAATAAAGTCGCTTTGAGCTTCTTACGACAGCCTATAATGAGCTCGCTCTGTGGCATGAAGTGGCTTTTGAACCCTGGCTGCCAGTAATCTTTTAATCCACAGAGGACCATCGTTGCACAACTATCAACTTTTTTTTATCAGTGTTGAAAACTACGACTTCCACATGTTGGCCAGCAGCTTTTAACAATATTCTCATGAAATCAATCTAGTTGTATTTCACAATCAAGCCTCTTGTGAGAAAAAAACTCACAGCAGCAGCAAAAAAAGAGAAGCCAGATATGTGTTTTTTTTTTTCTGATTTTGTGTTGAACAAGGTTACATTTATGGCTCACTTCCTCTCAGCAGTGGGTAACTTGGTGACCTGAGGTCAGCTCTAAAATAAATAGCTCAGTAAGAGTTTCAGTGATGGAACACATTTAACCTTTCAGCATCTCTCTTGAGACTTGACCTTATTCAAACATCCAGAATAAACCAGCCTGTACAGATTTTTACTTTTGTGAATGAACAAACTTCAAACCTCTGCTGTTTAAAAAAAAACATCCAAGTCATTTTCATTTACCCCGAGTTATGTAACAAATGGCAGCATTCCAAATTTCATGGCTCTTCAAACCACATAAATTAATTATTTAAAAAATAAATGGTCTTTTTGGAACAAAACTTTTTTTTCCTTCTTTACATGTCAACTGGTGTGAGGTCTCCCAGCTGTGTCTGCAGCTGGGAGCCAAAACTGCAGAGATTACAGAGCCTGAGAACAAGGAGGGGGGTTTACTGTTCTTTACAAACATGAGGAAATCTCSGAGGCTTCGCTGAACGAAGCCTTGTCCCAGACTCTAGGCTCTGTGGCTTCTAAAAGACAACTCTGTGTCTAAGACAAACATCAGCTGCTGCAGTCACAGAATATTTTCAGAACTCAGCAACAAATCTTCCATCAGTCAATCATAAAACAAAGAAGTGTAAGACTTGCCAAACAGAACTTTCTGCCTCGTTAGTCTGATTGTCTGTGACCGTGTGATGGACATGCGACCTGTCTACAGTGTACCCTGCCTCCTCGTGCACCATGACTGCAGGAGATAGGCACCAGCTCCACATGACCCAGAAAGGAGAAGCAGGTAAAAAGTGTCTACTGGCTGATCTGCAAAATCAGCAGCATTAGCATTCACACTGTCAGTGAGTTGATGCTCAGTTCATATATCAGTTCATTAATGCAGCATGTAGTTGGGTTGAGAAAACAGCAATAGGTTAATAAAACAATGTCCTGGTGTGTCAGAATGCTACATAGTGGTTATAGTTTATTGGTAAACCGATGCCCCTTTTCAGCTAGCGCCTCAACAGCACAGTTCAGCTTGGCTCTCCACGGTTCCAAGGCTGTTCCACTAGCAATGATTTGTGGAACAAGCCCCTTTTCCAGAACTTCCTCCATTGTGGTTCATTGAGGCCTGAAAATGTGATGTCAGAAGAGTGTCGGTCACTGATTGGATAGTGGGTGGAATCACTGGCTGTATCACAAGAGATACTCTCATAACAACCTGATAGCCATTTGCAATAACAAAGCTACCATATCCTCCATTGTTGCATTACGTATCTTTTCTGGGTCTTTTCTATGTTTAATTGTGGCTGGAAAATAACTAAATGGAGATAACCGCCACCAACTGGTAAGGCATGTGGCGTCAATTTTCGAACCCTGGGACCGCCCATCTTTACAATGAACCCACTCACTAGAAGTGTTACAAGTGTAAACCATGCGTGTAATCTTGTAATGTAATTACCGGTGCTCTATATCTTGCAACAATTCCTTTCATGTTTGTCACCAGTTCACTGATGGATGGTGTGCACATGCATTTCTGAGAATCCGGTGGAATTCAAAAGCGGGTTTTTCAGGCTGGGAAAATGAGGCAATATTTTAAACCATTAACAGAACACAAACCCCATCAAACTCGTCAAGAAGAAACAAACTGCACCAAACCAAGGTTTGTCTAAGAAAGGAAAAGTTCATTTGTGTTTGCATCTTCACTGACATAAATAAACAGTTTCATGTAATTGTGCTTTCATTGTAGCTACTTCTGTAGTTTGTCAGAGTGTTTAACAAATATGAACTACTTTTGGTTTTAAGATATTGTAACAGACATTTTATGCTGCTGTTAGGATGAGAAGCTCAGTCATCCGGGAGGGACTCAGAGTAGAGCCGCTTCTCCTCCACGTTGAGAGGAGCCAGTTGAGGTGGCTCGGGCATCTGGTTGAGATGCTTCCTAGACACCTCCCTGGTGAGGTGTTCTGAGCATGTCCCACCGGGAGGAGGCCCAGAGGAAGACCCAGGACACGCTGCGGGGACTATGTTTCTCGGCTGGCCTGGGAACGCCTTGGGACAAGCTGGTCCAAGTGGTTGGGGAGAGGGAAATCTGGGTCTCTCTGCTTAAGCTGCTACCCCCGCGACACGACCCCGGATAAGCAGAAGAAAACGGACGGACGGATTTCATGCTGCATGGTGCTTTGTTGTTTTGTTCTGTGCTACAAAACCAGAAACCTCAACAGTGCCATAAGCTAAAAAAAAATTATGGATCCACTGCTTGCTGCTTGTTCTGGAGTCAAGTTGCAGGGAGCAGCAGCTTGAGCAAGGAGCCCTACACGTCTCTTTCCACAGCCACTTCTTCCAGCTCTTCCTGGGCAGACCCCAAGGTGTTCTCAAGCTAACGGAGGGAGAGTCTCTGCAACATGTCCTGCATCTTCCCTGGTGTCTGCCCCTACTTGGACTTGCCCAAAACACCAGCATTTCCCAACCCTGGTTCTCAAGGCACACTGCCCTGCATGTTTTCGAAGTTTCCCTGCTTCAACACACCTGATTCAGTTGATTGCAGTTCAACAAAAGCCTGCTAATCAGTTGAAATCAGGTGTGCTGAAGCAGGAAACGTCTAAAACATGCAGGACAGTGCCTTGAGGACCAGGGTTGAAAAACACTGCTATAGATGCCCAAACAACATCAACTTGCTCATGGAGGAGCAGTGGCTCTACCACAAGTTGTTGTAGATAACTGAACTTACATCTCTAAGTGAGACTCTGTATACCTGTAATCAGAAATGAACAGACTATCCTTAAGTCCAAAACAACAGTGCACATCAGCTGACAGTTATGGCCATTAAATACATGTAGTGAAGCTGCAGAATATTACGCAACGTTAAAACAGCTGAACTGTCTGTCATTTTAAACTTGCATAATGAATGTTTTATTAAGAATTCAATAAGATTTGCGGGAAAGACTTTCTGAGAGTAAAAAGAGACTAAAATCTGTCACGATGTCTCCACTCCTCGYCTTTGATTTCGCTTTAAAATCAGCCAAACAGCACGTTTGAAGCCTCAGACTTGTTCAGTTTGAGAGGGACAGAAATCCTTTTGTTGACGCACATTCCTGTGCGTGCGGCGCAGACTCGGGTCCGCAGAGGGGAGAGGAAAATGAGAGGTTTGGCAACAGGAAAACCGCTCAGAGAAACACATTCCAGCCGGAGCAGAGTCTGTGCGGAACAATGAGGGGTGGGACGAAAGGCTGCACTATTTTAAAAAAAGAAAATCTCCAATCTGGTCTTTTTTTTATCAGGAACTCAGCTGGAGACAGAAAGCTGTCGGTGAGCAGGAGCGTTCGGAACGGAAGGACGCTGGTTCGATCCCCGCAGCGAAGCTGTTCGAGTTGTCGCTTTTATCAGCGCAGATTTGGACTGAGATGAACTGACAGCTCGTCGTTTAAACCTCAAGCCGCTGCTTTTTTTTTAAGTCCCGCTTTTAACGTGAGTTTCTTAAACCACAAGAAGAACTGAGTGAAACTTCTTCGCACATCTGCGCCTGGTCGTCAGCAGGAGGATGTGAGCTCTCACCGGATGAAACATCTGCTGCTGAGCCGCGCACAAACTTTCATTTATAACTCCTAGGATGAGGCCAGAGTTTAAACAAAACTGCTTTTCTTACTGACCACAGAGGAACTCTTCAGACTCTGATATGGGAGACGTGCGAGGTTTGCATCAGTCCCGTTAAAAGACAAAAAAACAGGTACTGATTTAGTTTGTTTTTGTTAATTTATTTAATTGTTTGTTCGTTTCTGTGGCTTTGTAGTTCATTTTCCAAAGATGGAAGCTTTTTTAAGTAGAGTATAAGTTTTGACATTAGCCCATGTTTCCAGATGTGAAGTGGATTACATCTGCATTTAACCCCAAGTTTTAATACTGAATCTTGAYTAATTTAATCCAAAACGTCTTCTCTGCGCTGATTTATAAAAGGAGACAAAATCATCACAATCATATTGTTTGGCCTGCATGCATCTGTGTGAGGAGTCTCACTGTAAATATGTTCATTACTGCAAAATGCTGAGATGTTTGCAAGTTTGTGAGTGGTTATCATTATTGTAGGAAATATTTACACTGAGTTAAGATGTTTTGTTTTGATTCAGATTTTTTTCATTATCATACATTAAAAAACTCGTAAACAAAATTTTTAAGCAAAGAGTTTCTAAAAATGTCGTCTTCTCCCCATCTGATAGGTTCTAAAGACCCTAGAATAAATGGTAAATGCCTTCAACAGCTTGGTTTTGCAGCATAAACTTTTATGAGTTGGTCCAAATATTTTCACACCTCTTCTGGTTTTGGAACACACACACACACACACACACACACACACACACACACACACACACACACACACACACACACAAAAGCATTGCATTATGGCGGATTAGGAGGCTGATGAAAAATGCTGTAACAAATTAGCAACGAAAACCCCCCCAAAGACCGTGGG